ACATTTCCATCATCACAGACTACTCTATTAAGACAGTACTATTCTAGGTTGCTATTGTTTTAAAATAAGCCTTCATTAGTACAGTATTTTAATTCAACCTTTTAGAATTTTAAGGCTGGACACTATTAAGACCACCACTTCATTTTAAAGGCAAGAAACAGGAACCTGATTTTCACTCTAGATTTATTTTCAACAGTTAATATCCACACATGGCATATAGTAGCACATACCTGCAGTCTCAGCACTTAGGAGGCTGAGGCAGAAGGATCACAAGTTCGAGGCCAGCCTGTGGCACATAGTGAGATCCTGTCTCAAAAACAAGCATCAACAGAAATTTGAGGATCTACTACGTGGCAGGCACTGTGCTAAGCATAAGAATTCCAAGAAGAGTAAGATTAAGCTCCCACCCACATGAACTAGGAGTCAGTGAGGGTGGTGGTGAGACCATTTGTGATGTGGGCACTGGAGGCTGGTTGCTGAGGAGCTAACGGAAGTCACTCCTCTGCTCTGCAGGTTCTGGAAGGCCTCCTAGAGAAAGGATGTCCCGTGAAGGATAACTGCAGTTAGGCAAAGGAGGTGGCTGGGAGGTTGGAGGCAGAGAGAACAACAGTAAATCAGTGAGGAGAAAGAGGAGCAGTGGAAGGGGTGAATTCAAGTATGACAGAGTTGATACACTGTAAGACCCTTTGTAAATGCCACAATGTACCCCCACCCAGAACAATAATAAAGAGAAAAAAGCACTGAGGAAAAGAGAGCAATCATAAGTTTTTGCAATGTGAAGTAGAAGAGTGACTATAGGTGACTTGGGAGTTAGAAGTAGGTGCTGCACCATGGAAAGCTTACTGTCCTGTTAACAAAGCTGGAGTTTTCCCCTTATGCTGCCACCATGGGAGAACTAGGAAGAGTCAAAGGAGAGGGATATGTTTTTTAAGAATATGTTTTAAACATAAAGACAGAGTTTAAAGGAGGGTAATGATAAAAAGACGTTAAACCTGAGAAATATTTAGAGTGTCAGTTTGCACTTGCTGAGTTTGGTTTTAAATACTTGACTCTGAGGAACCAGTTGAATGTTTAGGTGAAAGCAGTAAACTATACAAAATGGAAATTCAAGGCAGAGGTTGGAAGTGAAAATACACGTTTGGGGGTTGGTGCTATTTAACCAGCAAGAGTGGATAGAGAAAGCATGTAAAAAAAAAGGGCCAAGGATGGAATTCCTTAGGATGCTTCTCGCAAGAGAATCCATTAAAGGCAGTGCTTGAGAAGAAATGATCAGAGAAGAGGGAGGAGAGAATTTCAAGGAGAAACTGGTAAGTATCGAAAGCAACAGAAGCCTCCAAGATGAAAACTACAAAGGCATACGTTATACCTGGCAATGAGACTGGTGCTTGTGGCACCTGCTCTTCAGTGACCACAGAGCAGAGAACAGATGTAGACCACTCTCTGAAGAAACTGGGATGGCAACAGTAGGAATACAGAGCTGTACGCAGAGAAGAGTTTGTTTCCTGCTATTAAAAGATGAAAGAGCCTTAACAAGGAGGGGCACAGCACCAGGAAAAGCCTCTGGAGAGGGAGGAACTGGAAACACTGGGCAAAGGGCAGTTATGTGAAGAGCCCAGCCTTGGAATACTGCTTCTGAGCATCTCCACCTGGACGTGTCCTCACACTCAAGCAGCACAAGGCTAAGAGTGCACTGGGATCTCTCCCATCTTTTAAAAACTGTTTTGCATTTCAGTAAATGGCACTAACATGTTACCTGGTGCCTGAGAAGTCTAGGATGCATCCTTGACCCCTCCTTTTTCTCCACTGCCTGCATATAACTAATACAATTTCTACTCTTCAATACTTCTCAAAGAGTCAACTTCTATTTCCACCTCATTATTTTTGTTCAAGATACCATCATCACTCATACACAGTATTGCAGTAAGTTCCTCACTGGCCTCATTCACTACATCAGCCTAGCCCCTCTTCATTCAGCCCTCAATGTAAGGACCATAATGTCATTCCTCTACTTAAAAGGCCCTTCATGGAATTCTATCACAGTCCTTATACCATCTATGTGAACCTACTCTTATCTTTCTGGCTGACCTCCTCCCTTTACTCTAGCTCCACCGGCCTTTTCTTCTCAGCACATTCCCTTCCCATCTTTGGGTTTAACTCTGCCTCATCCTTTCCACCTTGTTTTAGGTATCAAGGTACCAGAGAGGACTACATTTCCCTGTTGTACCCTCTACAGAGCTCCCTGTCTTTCTTCTTCAAGGCACATGTCACAATTATACCTCAATAATGACTTGGGCAATTATTGAACGTCTGTCTTGCCCATCAGACTGTAAACCTGTGGGGGATGCAGAGACAGTGTGCCCTATTAAATGCTACATTATCCTGTGCCTGAAATAAAGTAGCTTCTTCAGATGATTTCTTGAATAATAAGAAATGAATCAAAGACCAACTTTGAACAGGAAAAGGGACAATTTCTCTACACTGAAGGGAATAAAGTAAGGTACGAACATAAGCAAGCTAAAAAGTAATTATGGCTGTATGAGGTCATGGAAGAAACAGGCAGTTTACAGAATTCATTTCTTATAGCCTGCCCCACTTTTCTTACACTGGCAGGTGCCAGGAGAAGGGGAGAAGAAGAAAGGAAAGAGGAACCTGACCAGGTCTTTGTGACAGTTGTAAGGGGTGCCACACAAAGGTGGAGAGTACAAGAGGAAAACCTAGTAAGCAAATGAGCCACTGAATGGGTTTTTCTTTGTGAAGTCTCCTAACAGTGCCTCACTTACCTAAGAAACCTCTGCTAGGATAATTTATTTGTAAGGTTAAGAGTGACTTGTAATGAATGATCCTTCAAAAACAGCTGAGGTATATGGTATTTTCTGTTATCAGGTTATCTTCAACAATATTTTAATTACACAATTTGTTGGGGGGTAAATAACTTTAGTCAATCACAGTAAGTTTTTTCTGGTAGGATCCAAATTACTGTTCCATTGATTCCCTCCGGCCACTAAGTAAGCTAAGACACAAACTGTGACAAAAACCTCTCAATGGGCAACTACTCTCCACACCTTGTTAGCGGTGTGTCAGAGAGGAAACAAGTAGTTTTTGCTGTATAACAATAGCTACTAGGGTCCTGTAGAAGAAACACCATTCCAGGCCCCTCCCATTCTCTTCGCAGCCTGCCCAGACAGCTTGCCTTGCTGTTAAACCATGGCTTATCTACCTATTTCTTGGTGTTCCCTCTTCCACACAGGCTCACACGATTCTGTGATGCTTTCTGACTCACACTGTGAGGCAAGGATAAAGACTGATTCCTTCAAAGAAGTTGGCTAACCCTCCTCTTCTTTCAGAATCCACACTAATTCCTTGTTTCTCTCAAATGGTACCTCCACTCCTTAGATTCCAAAATGGTACTGTCCTTCTAGTTCTCTAGACTCAAAATTATTATTATTATTATTGAGATGGGAATTCATTAGGTTGCCCAGACTATTCTCAAACTCCTGTACTAAGTGATTCTCCATCTGGAGCCTCTGGAGCAGCTGATGCTACAGGTATGCACCACCATGCCTGGCTGTTTGTATTTTAAAAAGGGTTCTTCTAATACAGAAAAATCCTTTGGTGAACTATTAAGGGCATATTGTTATTTAGAGGTACTGGAGTCTTTTACCCTAGCATAGAAACAGGCTAGAGAAAAGGATAAAAGCTATGCTACATATGGAAATGAAAGGGAAGCTAGCCTTACTACCTGAGTTCTTTCCACCAGAGAATTCTTAACTACAAATCTGACACTGGGCTCCATTATTCAATTCCATCAGGAAACCTTAAAGGTGGGGCTGGCTGAGTAGCTCAAGTGATAGGCGCCTGTCTAGCAAATGTGAAGGCCCTGAGTTCAAACCCTGGTACCATCAAAAAAAAAAAAAAAGAAAATCCTTAAAGGGAGAGGGCGATAGAGGTGTGTGTGTGTGTGTGTGTGTGTGTGAATATTATAGAAGTACTTTATAAAATATACAGATATACATGTATATAAAATGAAATAGTACAGTGAAAACCACAAAAAACTGTTAAAAAGGAAGGGGGAGGATACTTAAGAAGAGTAATATGGGGAGTAAATGTGATCAAGGCATATTACATGCATGTTGTAACTATCACAATGAAACTCCTTTGTACAATTAATTTATGCTAATAAAAGATTTTAAAAAAGGAATCCTTAAAGAATAGCTAACCATCCCCTGCCTGTAAAAGTGTTCCCTAAGCACTGAGCCCTCAACCTTAAATTCATCCATGAAGAACCTACCTCTGGAAAAGAGAATAAAGGAAGAACTTAGTTCACCTCTTTGGAAAAGCTACTAACCCTCAAAACTTGAGGCCAGTAAGTCTACTTCCAGATCATCAAAATTAACCACCCACTAAGTCATAGCTGAGTCCAGACTCCCTGCTGACTTTAGAAACCATGTGTTACAAACCCCTCCTTACACAAAAGGAGTAAGATACTCAGGAACCATCCAAGGTCACATACTCAATTACAGCAGAACCCATTTCATTATTATTTCTACCACTCTGCTCACTTTTTACTTTTGGTAACACACAGATATAGTCATCAGATAATGCTGTATATTCTTCTTGGATCTAAAATAATCTTCTTGAAATCTAAAATAATTTTCTTGAAATTTATACCTAGATCTCCTTCTCATTTCCTAAAATTCCCTAAACATTTATTTTAAGAAGTTGTAGGAAAATATTCTGTGCTCAAGGAGTGACTTTACAAAGTTAATGTTAAGGTCAGCAAAATATATTAATTCATGACAAAGACTTTAAAACTAATCTTAGATCTTATTTTGTAAGCTTACAATAAAAGGTTCTCAAGAGTTTTTAATCCTCTATCACAGGCTCTAGTAAAAAACAAACAAACAAAAAAACACACTAAAAATTCTTGAGTTGAGAAACACTACTCTAACCCCTAACAAAGTAGTTCTGCTGCATAAATGAAGTAAGTTTATCATACGTACTTAAAGCTCTAGAATGATCCGGATTCCTTATCCCCTTTGCTCGTAACCTCTGAAGAAGAACTGTTGAAGACAACTGTTTTACAAGATATACTGCCATGGAATAGGTCTGGAAAAAAAAAAAAAAAGATGTAGAAAACCAGTAACATATGTAATTAAACAGTACATCTATTTGAATCCCACAACGATAGGGAAGAAAACTATACTTCTGAAAACATCTGCTACGTGTTAGGTGTCTGCCTGAGAAGTAGTTCACCTAATCCTGATCAAAAGCTGCTGAGGTGGTCAGAAACCTGTTTTTATGGATGAAGAAACTGAAAGTACAGAGAAGTAAAAGAACCTGCTCTAATTTCACAGCTTTCAAATGACAAATCTAGAATCATGTTTGTATTACCTGTCAATACTTGAAACTTGAAAGAACACTGCTAAGGCTGAATATAAACCAAGCTACTCAGATGTTTAAAATATCATACACCACATTTAGTAGGCAATAGAGATAATGTAAATAGTAGTTATTTAAAAGATCACAAATCAGACTGGCTTCTTTTAACCTCTCTCTGTACCTTCAACTAGCTCTTGAAGACTCTATGGCTCATGATCGCAACAAGCAGAGGGAATATCCAGGACAGTGTGCAAAGAGAAGCCACTGTTTGGTAAATGGCTAGATGAATATCCCTGACCAGCAGAAGGACTGACTACTCAGAGATGGTAATGGGAGAAGGGAACAAAGAAAGCAGTTAGTTAGAAAGCTGGAGGATGGGTGAAGGGAACATGTTGGATAAGAGGAAGGAACGAGGACTGAGGCTTATGAAGGGTAGGAGAGGTCAAAGTAAGAAGGATGACTTTCTACTTGGTGCTGGGATCGAAAGGACTTGAAAAGAAGCAAAAGAAAAAATAACTGATGCCACCTTTTATTTTATAGCTACGCACAGTTTCCAAAGTACTCTTAATATATACTACCTGCTTCATTTAAGCTTTACAGAAGGCCTATAAAAGGTAGGTGAAGGGCTGATGAAACGGAGGCAGGAGAAGATGAGAGAATCTACTTAGTGGCAGAGTGGACAATAGAAAGCAACAGGAAAGGTGAGGGTGCCAGAACACAGGACTGAATGATCAGGGTCAGTGGAGTCCTCTACAGCTATTGCTTTCACACCTTCCTTGCTTTGAACCTCCTAGTACAGTGCAATGCCATTGCAACTTCCACTTACTTTCACACTTTTGAAAGTGCATTTACATCTTGGCAACAAGAGGATATCCTACAATACCCTCTAGAAGGGTAAACTTTCCTTTTTTTGTTGGAGGGGGTTGGGGGGAAATTGGGGGTTTGAACTCAGGGCTTCAGGCTTGCAAAACAGGCACTCTACTGTTTGAGCCACACCTCCAGTTGGGGAGGTTCAACTTTCATCTAAAGTTCAGAAGGCTGTGTTCACATGCTATATATTTTCTAGGAAAAAAAAGAACTATCAAAACAATGAATTTACTTTCATTAGTAAATTTCATAATATATTAGTAAGCAACAAATAACCTTAAAATTTTCCTAAATTTTAGAACATACAACCTACTAATCTAACATAGAACTGATATGCTTCTTTTAAGGAAAAAAATCAAACCTTATCATTATTTATTTGCTTAATGCTTCAGGCGTAATAATAACTTAGGAAATGCAAATTAATACTGTAAAATTCTGCACTGACAGCTTGAATCTTCAGAACTTGGAATTACCCTAAGGCCTTATATAAATATTTAAGATGAGAGCAAGTAAAAACCACAAGTTCAGTAAAAAAGTATGTTCACTCCAGTTGAAATATGTAACCAAACAGAGAAGGAAAACCAAAGCTGCAAAAAGAATGCCAGGTATTAACAAATGCCACCTGTACTGACAGCATAGAATTACATTTAACAGGGTATGAAAGAGGTCCAGCAGCAAAAATCTCCCACACTTAACAGCAGAGAGTATCTCTTCTAGGGAGATAATGTTGTTCTTGCCTACCCTTCAAGTACTACCTAACCCGAACTACTGATGTGGGTATTGTAATTACATTGCCATTTTTGTCTTTTGCCTTTTTCAGCTTGCAAAATTGTATATAAAGTTCCTAATAAATTCTCCATAATTGAAACCCAATCAGCTCATTATGCCCCCTTTACACCAGTATCTAAATCATTTCTCTATCAGTAATCCAAGTTTAAGAAATACTAAACGAAGTGAGTAACCTGACACAGGACAAGGAGTTACAAAATAGTTCATTCATTTCACACAGTTATTGTGCTAGTTCTCCTATTTTCTCAGAACAGACACACTCATAAGTTTTTTTGTTTTTGTTAGGCAAGGTCTTACTTATACAGCCTCAGGGTGGCCTTTGACTCATGGCCCTCCGATACCTCAAATTCCTGAGTGCTGGGATTACAGTCATGTGCCATCATGCCCAATTTATAATTTATGCCATCTTTTTGTTTGTTTGTTTTTTTGGCTGTAATGGTTTGAACTCAGCATTGTGTGTTTGCTAGGCAGGTGCTCTACCACTTGAACCACTCTGCCAGTCCATTTTGGTCTGATTATTTTGGAGATGAGGTCTCATGAACTATATGCCCAGACTGGCCTCAAACTGTGATCCTCCCAATCTCAGCCTCCCAAATAGCTAGGATTACCTGTGTGAGCAACCAGCACCTGGCTTATATTATTTCTTAATAGCCTCAAGTTATATAAATTTATCTGCAAAAAGTAAGAGATTCTACATGAACTATTCAGAGTATCTTTACAAGCTGAATTAAAATAATGATCTAAAAGAAGTCTAATCAGTTATCTTCTAAACTAAGAATAATTTCCTTTTAGTGATTTATTCCAAAAAGGAGGACTTTTGTACATCTTTCAATCTCTATGGTCTGGAAGACTTTCCATTCTAGAGTGTCTCCCCATCTCCTCCAGAGCTATGTATCAGTCACCAAAGTCTGCTCCTCTCCCAGTTTCAGAGTTAGATTTCACTGAAAACAGCTCCCTCTTTCTTTCTAGGTAGGCTATATTTTTCATACACAAAACCAAAAACATTTTTGTTGTTCTTATTTTGTTCTATTTTGTGGATGAATGCCAAGATATGCTAAAAGTAAAAAGTTCGCAAGGTTTATTATTATTATTTTGTGGCAGTACTGGGGTTTGAACTCAAGACCTCAAACTTGTTTGGCAGGCACTCTTCCACTTGAGCCACACTTCAGCCCTAAACATTTAATAAGGATTTAAAAACCTAATGGTGTCACATGAATTAGTCAAAGGAAAAAAATAAATAACCTTGATGGCTGTCAAAAATGATTTTGAGAGCTGGGAGCATGGCTCAAGTGACAGAGCACAGATCTAGCAAGCATAATGCCCTGAGTTCAAATCCCAGTATTGCCAAAAAAAAAGATTTTGATAACATTTAACATCCAATTCTAACAAAGAAATTCAGTAAAGGAAGAATATAGATATACATCATTAATGTAATTAGGTTCTATCAAAAACTAATTGCTATTATAGCACTTGATGTAACAGTAGCAGTATTCTCATTAATGTAAGGAACAACAGAAATGTGTGCACTAGCACCTACATTATTCAACATTGTTCAAAAAGTTCTAGTCAGTACAACAAGAAATAGTAAGAATTAGGATTATCATTATTTGAGTAATGACACCTCTCAAACTCAAAACTGCCTTTGTAGAAATACCAACAAATCAACTAAAAAGCTACAGAACAAATATATCAATTTAGGTATGAAGCAAATATCCAAAACAACTAGCTTAAAAAAAATAACTACTTTAGAAAATGTAACAGAAAAAAGATCTATTGGAAGAGCAATAATAATAACTCAGAAATCAATAAAATTATGCAGATTTATAAGAAACTTATTAAATTACCGAAGAACATAAAAGAAGACTGAGTAAATGGACAAAGGCACAGCTTCTGGATGGGACATTGAATATTAGTACAAATAAACTTCTTCACTTAACTGGTAACTTTAAAGATGTCTCACAAAGGGCTGCAGGTATGGCTCAAGTGGTAGAGAAATAGCCTTGCAAGTTTGAGGCCTTAAGTTCAAACCCCAATACTGCCCCCACAAATATGTATATATGTATGTGTGTGTATGCATGCGTGTATATATATGTATGCATGTGTGTATGTGTATATGAATGTGTATGTATGCATGTGCGTATGTGTGAATGTGTGTATGTGGAGGTGGGTGGGGTAAAACAGAAGAGGAGGTATGATTAATTCTACAGTTCATGCTGAAGAATAAATGTGAAGAAGAGTTCATACAGGAGACCATGTCTTTCTAAAACCCTTCCCAACCTTTCCAACTTCCTTCAAAGCCCTTATTCCTCCCTTTGCCCTTCCTCAGGTAACTTACCTCACACTTTCTGACTTAATTTGTCAAGTCAGAACTTACCCGCCTCTCCAGAACCAAACGCACACCCATCCAGTCCTTTCCCTGTCGCACTAATGAGGCCATGTATCCTCCACCATGAGCATTTCCAACTGTGTGATTGATTCATCACTGACTGTCCCTATTTGTTGCTGTAGATCTTTCTCTCAAGAAGATCCCAACCATCATCTGACATGTTGAACATTCTCCCAAATGGCTCTTCACATTTCCCTCCAGCTCACCCTCAGCCCTCCAGAGCCTCACCTCTTTAGTCCATTATCTGGCACTCCCTCACCTGCAGCTCACTTTAATCTGGCATCTGCTCCTTCCATCTACCAAAACATCTCAAAGTCATCTTCCTCTTCCCAACAGTTTTTTTTTAGACTGTAATACGCTTGACCTCTCAACACTTGCTTAATAGTACTTACACCAAATCTCCTGTCTTTATGGACTCTTACCCTCCCCTGCCCCACTACCACTGCTCTCGTGACTCTGCAGACCCATTCTCTCCCACCCACGAGTGAACGATTTAGTTCCTCATGGACAGGTTTTAGGCACACTTCTTTTCCTACCTGCTACATCCCACCTAAGTAAAGCCAACCCTGCCTGTATGGCTCACACATTTTTGTCTATAGCCCAAACTTACCCCCTGGCCTTGTCTGCCCAGTTGCCTACTGAGGATATTTCAGAGGTAGCTCAAACTCTAAACTTCCAAATTGAACTGTTTTCTCCATCTAGTCCTTCAGTGTTGCCTCCTTCAAAGCAAAACCAAACACACCTGAATACAGTACTTTTTCAGTGTTTCCTCTATCGGGTACCATTACCATCACTGGGTTACCCAGGCCAGAAAACGAGTAGTCATCACTTACTTAGTCCTGCATACCTCCTGCTTAACCCTATGCCCACTGCCAGCACCCTAGACTAAGAAACATATTCTTTCCCCCACTTCTCTCTCTTTCCCTCACTGTCCCCTTCCCCTCTCTCTTTCACTCACTCTCTTTCACTGATACTTCTGCAATGGCTGGCTCCACATAATTCTGGCCTCCATTCAAACTATTTATCACTCTGAAGGGAGACCTTTCTAAACAGAAACATGGCCCTATAAATTTTCTGCTAACAAAGAGAAAGTCCTTAATTCTAATATTATTCTCCAAGTCTGTTTCATGCACTGCTCTTACCCATTCTCTGTATCCTATTCTCAGTGGATCCCTTCCAGCATTTTGAAAAAACTACACTCCTCTGCCCCTGAGTTGTTGTGCACATTTCTGAGTCTTTGGCTTGATTCTTACCGTTTTCTCAGCTTTTTACTCAGGTACTACTTCCTCAGCAAAGACCTTCTTGACTCCCTCTCTAGTTCAAAGTGCCCCTAATGTACTCCAAAATCACCATGTACCTCTCTCCTTTATAGTGCTTAAATAAGTTCGCTTTTTTTTTTGGCATGTGACCCCAAACACTTACATCACTTATCACATGAGAATAAGGACTTTTTCCCCCTTCATATAGTACTATCACAGTTTTGAGTACAGTACAAAGAAAACTTTGAATTAGCATTCAAAACATATTTGAAAAAATTTCAAATACTGAGTAGATGAGTCAGTATTATAATTTGAAAATTACAACTTTTTGAAAATTTAGCAGACAATAAATGCTAGATTAAGAAATGATATAGGAAAAAATCAGAAATACACCAAGGATATATAAAAATTAAACATGTAATAATGGTGGCTTCAGAATAGAATTTATTTCGTTAATGGTCTTAGAACTAGCTAACTAAAAACCCAAGGTAATTACCTATCTCACACAGCACATAAATTTAAGAAGGATTAATTACTTGAAGGTAAAGCATAAAACCTTAAAAGTCTAGAAGCTAGCTTATTTACAGAAGCTTGGAAAGGGCAGACAGACTAAGCAGGATGGTGACAGAGAGGAACACTATAAAAGAAAAACCTGGTTAAGATCTGGTGTATGATATTTTAGAACTTCTACTTATTAAATAATCACAAAATCAAAAGGCTAACAAACTGGAAACAAATATTTGTGATGTGACGATTAATTCTTAGTATATGAACAACTCATAAGACAATTAAAAAAAAGAAAAACAGCAATACAAGACTAGACACAGATAAAAATTTAAAATGTAAACAATTATAAATGTAAAACCATGCTCAAGCTCAGTCATAATGAAAGGAGTACTACATGGTAACATTATTTACTTGATAAAAATTAGTAAAGACTAAAAAAGATAGCAGCAGTGTTGAGAGGCATGCAAAGAAGCAAGAGTCCGAGAAGACATCTACAGTTCTTTAGGGAAAGTCATCTGTCAATGTGCACGAAATTTCCTGAAGTTCTGCATGCTCTTTGGCTCAAAAATTCCACTTCTGAGAATTCACCATAAGAAAATGTCATGTACGCATGTGAAGTCATGGCTACTAGGATGGTCTTCAAAATGTTCCAGAGGTAGAAATGGTTAAGTCAATCAAGAAATCAGTGGTCAACAATAGGGAACAGGCTACATAATGTATACTGACATCAGCATCCGAGGTAGCCACCTACAATAATGCAAAAGAACATGTAATGTCATCGGAAGATGGTGACAGCAAATTGCTGAGCAAAAGGGTCAGTTTATAAAATATTGAATATTGTGTGATACTATTTTTCAAATGGGAACACAATGAAAATTCATTATGAGACAAAAATAATTTGCAACTCACAGTACAATGTATAAATGAACTCAGGTAGCGATGGTGATAAGCTGCTGTGGTAGGAACAAAAGTGACTTACTCTTCCAATTTCTGCAGTCCAAGAAACAACAATGGTGTTTGGCACTGTTGTGGACAATCGCACAAGAGAGGTGATGTTAATGGGTCGGCTGGGTCGCTTTGGTTCCACACCATTTTTAGTAGGCGGAAGGTAACCCTAAGAAAGAAATATAATTTATGTCTACTTACTACTTCCAAAATCATTCCAGCTTGCACCTCTTAAAAAAACCTGTAAAATACATACTAGAAAATATGAATGTTTTCAGTAGAGAGAAGCAAACATTTATAAGCATTACCTGAATTATTATCTCTCTAAGCAACCTTATAGCCTCCTTATGGTAAGCCTGAGAAAAGTATTATTAATAGAAGTTAAATTTAAGAATCAGAGTGAATTCATAAATAGCTTAGGTAGGTACATTGGGAGTATTTCCAAAGGGACTACATGGCTCCCACCCTTACCCCTGGTGACACATTTGCTCAAATCTCCATTCAACCACAGATACATGCAAACGTAGTGAGATTTTGTGGGAAAAAAGTTCCTCTTCCTAAAATCCAACACAACACAAACACTACCTCACCCAGCTCCAAAGCCTAGACTTTGCTAAGGCCCCAGCTGCTAACTGCACATAACTGGTATAAGTGTTTCACTCAGTCCCATGAATGTATATCCAAAATAAAAATGTTTTCTTAATGAAAAAATATGACTAACAACAGCTGTGATGATTTCTTTGGCAGTTATGTTGGTAATCTGTTTTAAAAATTAGCTTTTAGAACTTACTGGAAGGCTGCAAGGTTTTGTATTCACTTTCACACAAAGATTGGGTGGGAAGTGATCTTCTTGTGGACAGCTGGTTTCTGATAAACAAAACCTACACAATAAAGGTCAAGTTTAGTTTCCTGTATTAAAAGATAACTTCATTAGTATTTTTGCTCAACTAACTTAGAAGAGGATCAACTTAAAAACAACAAAAGGAAAACTATGAAAGGAGTAATTCATATAACTAATAAGTATATGCAACCAGGCATGAAATACAGTTGACTCTTGAACATGGGTTTGAAGTGTGTGGGTCCACTCATATGTGTATTTGTGGTATATGTGTGTGTATATTATCGGAGATTTGTGACAATTTGAACAAATTGGAATATAAACCAGACAACCTAGAAATGATGACTGTTTAAGTTATCAGTAAGGCTTCTGGTCAATGACTATGAGCAGTTAAGTTCTGGGGAGTTAAAGTTGCGCTTTTTTTTTTTTTTTTTTTTTGGTGGTACTGGGGTTTGAACTTGGGGCCTCACGCTTGCCAAGCCATGCCCCCAGCCTTTTTTTGCTTTACGTTTTTGGAAAAGGTCTCATTTGTTTTGCCCAACCCAGCCACAGGTGACCACCATGCCTGACTTTTGTATGTGGATGTTTGATTGGGCAGAAGGGTTGGCTTCCTAACTCCACATCCCACCTGAGTTGTTCGAATGTCAACTGTGAATAATTCTGTCAATTATCTGAATTAAAAATCATGACTATCAACCTGTAGTTGTCTTCATAATGATTTTAACTATTTATTTAAGAATGCTTTGAGGAGCACTAGATTCCTTGAATGTTGAAAGGAACCAGGTGTTAAAAGAAAATAAAAGGATCTGTAGTTGAATAAATTTAAGAAATTCCGAATCAAAACAATTAAATTAAGTTTTCTTAATAAACACTTCTCAGAGCTTTAAATAAGCACATATGCATTATAAATCACAAGAGGAAAATACATCATACAGTATTTAGGAAATCTGCCTCTGAAGCCCTTTGTTGACTCTCAGCAGAAATACTGAAACTGCCATCTCTGGGACCACACTCTGTCCAGGAAGCCAGTGTACTCCTTTGTTCTTTGAGAACTAAAGATGTGGAGTAACAACATTACTGTGTCATATCTACATAAACTTAGAACACTATTTTAAAAGCCCATGAAAATATTTATTTCTAAAATCAATGCATAATCGTTTGGGAAAACCAAGGATATCTACGTAATTTGCAAATTCTCTCTTCACTCTTACACAGATGGAGAAATGATCTGCTATCAAAGGTATCTATTCTTTATTACTTCCTTTGGCCAATATACACCTGAGATTCAATCTGCTTTCACAGAATGCTGACAGCACCTTTGGATTATATGGTAGGGAAAGTCCTATCTCTGAATTCCGTGAAAAATACATCATGTGCAAACATCTTCTCTCAACATCTGTTGTTTGAGATGGCAGCCATAAAATCTGTGTGTTGGGGTGTTCCTCAAAATGAAGTAAGTTTGCTATGTAAAATTTTAGGAGTAGAAATACATGTTCATTTTTATGGGGTAACAATCCATAGCTTTCAACAGTTTCTCAGAGGGTAGGAAACCCTACCCTTTGATACCTAGTATCAGTCTGCCTAAACAGAGGATAAAGTCCTTAGATGACAAGCAGTCACTGAGGCCAGAGTCTGCCACACTGTTTCAAGGTGTGAACGTGAGTAAGTTCTCACTGCTCTCATCTCACTGTTTCAAGCCTGCACAGAGGTTTCCACATTGTTCTACAAAGGGCTGAGCAGGTGCTTTAGATTAACCTCTTTTCTGCCTTACTACTGGACATACAGCTTGTATACACAACTTAGTACCTTATTACTGATACTAGATTATCTTTACCACGATACAGGAAAAACAGCTTACTGAGGAAAACAATTGTGTTTTATTTTTCTCTTCTACCTCCTATTCCAACAAGAACAGTATATAACATGTAGTTTGTACATGGATAGTCACTGAATAGTAAGACCAACATAAAATTGGTTTATATAAGCTTGAGTGAGACACTAACATAAGATTTCTTAGCTACCCTAGAAAGAAATGAATGAGCTAAGAGAAGAAAGTGAAGCGGCAGCTTTGAACTCATGTTGGAAAATTTTCTGTTCCTCTTTGAAAACTTCCAAGACATGTTTCATATGGGCTCTAAGTTAGAGCGTATTTAAATTAATGATCTAAAATACAGGACAAAGCAAATGTGGTGCTTGTTAGTCCATGAGATACTACACTTAAGTACGGGTTCCTTATTTATAGTAGTCTGCCTTAGGAAGATAAGGTTCCTCCTCTCACAACAGTTGATATTCATGTCTAAAGAGCTAACAAGCACATTCAAAGACACCATTAACTGGAGCTTCTCAGCCAGCCGTGGGCAGTCAAGGTAGAGACATGTTAAGTGCACAGTACATGACCTGTTGTGGTAACATCTAAATTGGATAGAATTAGGAAATCTCATAATAGAATGCTAAACCAAGTATTTTCTGTGAATTTACTGAAAATCAGGTAGACCAAGTCTTTGCTCCCATTTCCTGTGTGGGGAACAGAAAATGTTTCTTTTTCTCCCTTGCCCTTTTCTCCATACTGTATCCTATTACACTGAAATAAATCTTTGTTAAAATTTCAAAAAAAAAGAAAATAAGGTAGATTTTAAAATTAGTCTTTAGGGAATATCATAAACTTTGAATACTGTAGTTAACACTGTACCTTAACTGGACCTGTACTGTGAAGTCACATTTGGTCCCAGAAATATCCCTAAAATAGACAGAATAAGAATTACAATTATTTTAAAATATGTACATAAAGGCAATGCTACATCAAAAGTTTTCCAAGTTATCAAAGATTTCACTGTTTTAAAACTAAATGCCACAACAATATTTTTAATAATAATACTTGGATGACACTAATATTAATTCACACAGTATCTTTTTGTTGTGGTGGTGGTACCAGAGGTCAAACCCAGGGCCTTGCACATGGTAGGCATGTGCTATATCCCCAACTAGGTTGTTCTAAAGATCTAAGAAGACCTTACTGGACTTAGTCACCAAACTGCAATTTATAATTGAAGACAAACTTACATGGAACTACTGATCTGCTGCACTTGTTGTGGTGTCAATGCAAATGCAAAACAGGTTTCTCGAAAGCGCTGACTGTTGTCTGATGCTAAAGAAGACAAGAGTTATATTTTCAATTACCTTTACATTAATTGATACAGAAGTAATCAATTAGTAACTAGTAAACACACATCTGAATTAACTGGAATATATTCTAGAGGGTTTTTTTTTTTTTGGGTTTTTTTTGGTGGGACTAGGGTTTCAACTCGGGGCTTTGAACTTGTAAAGCAGGCATGCTATCGCTCTATCTACACCTCTAGTCCATTTGCTCTGGTTATTTTGGAGATGGGGGTCTCTCAAACTATTTGCCCAGGTTGGCCTCGACTGCAATTCTCCCCATCTCACCCTCCCAAGTAGCTAGGATTACAGGTGAAAGTCACTGGTGCCTGGCTTATTCTATAGTTTTGGTAATAACACAAAGCACTGAAAAATAAGAAATATACCATATTTGATAAAACAAACAGAAAGGTACAGAAGTGTCTAATTCCATAAATAAAACATTAGTACTCAAACTCAGGTAATACATAAACAAACCAAAATTAATAAAAAATTACTTAAATCACAAAATTGTTTGCATCCAAAAGGCACACTTCTATAAAAGCATACTAATTTTATTTAAAATGCAATTATATAAACCCACTTCCATGCACATGGTTTCTGAGCTAAGTAACAAACAACCTGCCTGGAGATCTGCATGGGTAAGATGGCATTTGGTCTTCACAGCAAACAAAGACTTTTATCATCTCCTGTTTAACCATGCAACTTTTCTTTTCTTTCCTTTTTTTTTTTTTTTTTTTTTTTTTTTTGAGACAGGGTCTATATAGCCCAGGCTGGCCTCAAACTCCTAAATCCTGTGCACAATGGAGCTTGGCTACCATGCAAGTTTTATACAGTAACAGTTTCTCCTATTCTTGGATGTTGACCTGACTTTACAATTGCTTGCTGTCATCATCCCAAAGAAGAAACAAGTTATAAAATGGGAAGGAAAAGAATAAGGAGAAGTCATGGCATGGGGAGAGAGGTGGGAAAAAAGAGCAAGCACAGGTCAGTCTAGAGCAGGGATTCCTAAACTATACTGTTGTATATACATGTATATGTATGAATACAAGTGTGTATACATGTATCCATACGTAAGTAAAATGCATCCTCAGTGCTTGGCACAAAGAAGCATGGACTGACTATTTGTTGAACGAGTAAAGGAATACAAAAGCTTCAGTATTTAAATTGTACTTTTCCAAGGTGATTTTCTACAACAAAAGCATCACTCAGAGTTATTATAAGGAGTTCCTGGCCTGTGGGCTCCTTGAGGCATGTGCTAATTACGCAGCTGGCAGTTGAGCTCAATCACCCACTCAGCCTGATGTTTCCTCTTGCATGCAGCACTTCCTTTACAACTATCACCCAAACTGTGGTATGTCATGAAAATCTGTACAAATGCATCATCATGACAAAAACAAGCAGAAAAGAGCACTGATCTAAAATCTTAACATGATACAAAAGTGTCTTTTAAAAGCTAGATTTGCATTTCTACTTTATGTGCTGTGAAAAGGCTTTTTCTAAAGCATCTATCACCAAGGAATAGTCGCTTACTATAAATATTATCTTAATTTTAAAGCACAAATCTGGCAATGGCCAAACCTGGCAATGCAGAGAAGCAAAGCTTCCCTCCGTCAGCAGTGTCAATGACTAGTTCCTTTAGCTTCACATGTGCTAGGCAGGTGCCCTACCACTTGGGCCACTCCACTAGCTCTCCTTTACTTCTTAGAGGATACTTCTCTATAGATATTACTCTAGCAGGCTAAGCCCAATTAAAATCTTTGGCTCCACTTGAAAACAATGCTAAAATAATTTCTCAACTACAAAAATTCATATTATTCTCTCGGCAAAATTTCAGGTTCATTTTAGAATATACGACTACATTAAGTTTCACACACACACAGATTTAGAACGACAAGATTATGGTTAAAATAATGAGATTTTTTTTCTTGTGGTACACACAGAAATGAGGTTTATGATAATAATAACACTTACCTCTATCTCCTTTTCCATACAGATTGGCATGCTTTGGGTTTGACTGCCACTTTACCGTGTAGTTTCAGACTTAACTGATGCTAACAATGCCAGTGCAAACTTTGCGGTTTGGGTTTTAGATAGGGCTGGGAATGTAGCTTGGTAGGATTTATTTATTTACATTTGGTGGCACTGGGGTTTGAATGCATGTAGCTTGGTAGGAGAATGTGTGCCTAGCACGAAGCAGGCCCTGTGTTCATCCATAGCACTGGAAAATGAATGGATGAAAATAACTCCTTAGAAGTAAATTAAGCTATCAACAGCCCTTTCAGATTAAGGCAAAACAGAATCATACTGAAAGGGGTCTTACAAGACCAAACAAAATAGTAACTACAGTGTTCGTGGTTTGCACCTATGTGGGCGCAAAAGACAACTCTTAGATACAAGAAAAGTATATATGAAAAACAGAAGCTTTATATAGTTGGGATTTTACATATAATCTAATTTAACAAAACAAATTAAAATTTTATGTAAAATCTTCACCATGTGAAACTCCTATTTTTCCTACGTTTTATAATACATATGATGTTAGTATAATGGCAACCCCCTGAACCTCAATGTTATCTGAAAGAAGAAGTTGATACTATTTACTTATTTATTGACAGGGTTCTTGTATACAACCCAGGCTGGTCTCCAACTAGTGATATTCACGTCTCATTCTCTTGAGTGCTGGGATTATAGGCATGCATCACTACCCCCAGCTTGACACTTTTTCACAGATGGTGCACGCTCACATATTTTGCTAAGAGGTGTATGTGATCAAATAAATTTGCCCACCACTGTTCTAGAATCCAACTTTTCCTTCAACCTTTCCATTTATTCTCTTCTTGAGTTCTATTAGAGATGGAAGAAAATTGCCATTAGTTTGTCAAGCAAAAGATGGCTGATGATGAACAGATGAATTGTAACAAAGCTTGCAGCCTAACAGGAAAGAGATAAGATTACACAGGCCTGGCTTCCAAAGTGGTTGGCCACTTATTTGCCATGCCTTATGTAATAATCCACTTTGAATCTGTTTCCTTCAATATTTAAATCTCAATCTCGCTCAATCAATCTTTTTCTCTTTCTTCTCTCTCTCCTCTCTTCTATCTTCTCTCTCTCTATTTTGAGGAATATAAGTAAAGTAACATTTTCTGTTCCATTTCCTCCTATTCCCCTATACTGAATCAAAATATCCACGTGCTGGTGTCACACAGCACTAGTCTGATCTCATATCCAGTAACAGCCATCTTTTAAATAGCTAAAGAGCACTGATGTGCCCCTCCCTTTCCATCAACTCTTACCCCCATGGTATCTCAGATGAAATTTCAGGCTCAAATCTCACCTTCCTCCTCTACACATAGCCCAGGTTGTCACATTCACATTAAAGCAACAGCAAGAATTAGACACACTCTGTTGTAGCATATATTATCTGTTCAAAATCTATACTGCCCTTCTGTGCTGGCTGTCCCTACATCTCCAGAACAAATGACATTATCCTCCACTCAGTGATGATATATTATTCCAGATGTGATGTGAACAGAGTATTATGTTGCAAACATATGTTTACAACAGCTACCACCTAATATTGCTAATTCACCCAAGAATCCTGAAGAAAAGGTATAAAGCCCCTTTTAGATGACAAAAATGAGGTTCAGAGTAAGCACTAACTTGTCATTCACACTGTAAACAGAAGAACCAGAACTGGAGCTCAGATCTACATGCCTCCCATTTCCAAAGCCCTGGCTCTTCTCATAGCACTGGTCTATCAGCCTGACCAACAGTGGTACTCTACTTCTACCAATGCAGCCTAGTACGACACTGTGCCACAGAAAACAGAAAAAGAATTATTTATCATTCCTTCATCATAACTATTGCTATTTTTATGTATTTCCTTCCAGGCATCATTACATCAAATTTGCATACATAAACTGAGAGTTGTTTTTCAAATTTTTCTACAGATCTAACCCATGGACTTGAACATACTAGGCAAACCTTCTACAACTGAGCTATATCCCCAATCCTGAAAGCTTGTTTTTTGATTTTTTTAGGGGTGGCACTGGGATTTGAATTCAGGCCCTCACACTTGCTAGGCAGACTCTTTTACTGCTTGAGCCATTCCTCCAGTCCATGAAAACTTGTTTTTAAAAAAAAAAAAAAATTACCCATATATTTTTCAAATGCAGTATTTATTACCATATTTTAATCGCTGTACTGTGTTCCAGCAGCAGGCATAAGAACAATTTAATTACTTCCCTGACAATCTTTTATTTAGGTTAGTTCTAATTTTTCCTTGAGACGACTCTGTGAACATGTTTGGATTTCTGGGTTTGTTTTTGGAGAGCAAGTAGGGCTGGTTGCTTTCTTTAAATCATTTCCCAGCTGTGAAATTTCACAGTCAAAAAGTATGCTGATTTTTATCAATACCACAAGAGTTACCATAAGCAATTTATGCATCCAGTAATTGCACCTTACTCTGGCCAGCATGATTTGTTGCTAATTTAACAGATGGATCTTGGTAGCTTGATTTGCATTTAAAAACTTCCCATGTTAGTTATTGTTAAAACTTTCTGTTTAGTCAATTACCAAATCTTGTTCTATGCCTACTTATGTTTGCGTAAGGACTTCATACATGAGACTATTAAAGCCCTTGGAAATTTGCTATTCTATTTTTTTTCTTCATTTTTGTCTGGTTTAAAAGTTAAGTTTTTACCAGGCATGGTGGTACACCTCTATAATCCTAACACTCTGGAGACAGAGGCAAGAGAATTGGGCTACATAGCAAGTTAGAGGTCAGCCTGAACAACACAAAAAAACAAGAAAAAAGTTAAGCTGGGTGTCTGTGGCTCACACCTGAAATCCAGTTACTCAGGAAGTAGAGATCAGGAAGATAATGGTTCAAAGCCAGCCTGGGCAAATAGTTCACAAGATCCTAGCTTGAAAATACCCAATACAAAACAGGGCTATCAGGGTGTCTGCCTAGTAAGCACGAGGTTCTGAGTTCAAACCC